GCAAACATCAGGACAATCAGAATCCATTTTTTATTTATTCCTTTTTAAAATGTTCTGAAAGAAAAAGCAAAATAAAGAGCAGGACCCACCAGGGGATATGGGAGATGCCATCATCACAAGGAACACAGCGCTGGGTTTCAGAGCAATGACTGACACCACATCAACAACAACAACAACCTAAACCCAGAGGAGACTGCCCAACCAGTCACATCACACAGAGATATTATAAGATCTATTTCTTTACACCAATTAGCTGATTTCCTGAAGCGCAAATCAAGCTGGCAGCAAAGCCATCTACAAACTAATCTCCCATTTTCTCCTGCTCCTGATGACAGCATTTTCTTTGCTTGGGGAGAGCCTATATCCCTTGGGATATTGTCTCCCTTCCTTGTCCAGCAGTCTGGGGTAGCCTTAGAGACAAAGAAAACTTCCAGCCTGTAGAACACGACCCATGGTCCTGATTGTCCCGTTGTCCAACACACTCCCAGCCTCCAGTACAGTTTTCCCAGCACATTGCAGAGGCACAGGAGGGAAGCAGAGGGAGAGGCACAGTTGGTCTCATCCAAACATACACTGGACCACAAACACTGGGAATAATAATAATAATAATAGTAACAATAATAATAACACTTTAGGGGGTTTACACTTACTGCTATGACTTTCACAGCCAAGATGTAGGAGAAAGCAAAGGGCCAGGAACGTGGTGAGTAGCAGTAAAAACTGGCTCCTCCTCTCAAAAACATCATCCTACATCCATGTTTATTCCATGGTGTGTGGGAAGAGCTGATCCTGAGTTGCTGCCAGTCTAGGGATAAAATCCAGCAGCTGCTCCACACCACCTAGGAATGGTTTGAGGTTAATTCTGAACAACAACAACAACAACAACAACAACAAAAGGCCACTTTCATTTTGGGTGATTTCCTGAAGCAGGCGAGGAGCAGAGGATGGAGCCAGATGATTCGTTTGGGTGGCAATGACAACTTTTCCCAGCATCAGCTGTTCAGGAAACTACAGCCCTGCAGCAACACAGCTAAAGTGACCCCGATCCTCAAGGAAAAAGCAGATGGTAAGTTGGGTCCCAGTTTGCCACTGAGGTTCAAGGGGTGCCCAGAGGGGGCCTGGCCCCTACACAGCAGGGCTCTTCCTCCCCTTTGCTGTGCTGCCCCACAGAGCCAATTAACCAACAGAAAAACAATTGCACCAAAAAATCTGCAGTTCTTTTAGCTCCAAGCCCTCAGGAAAAAAAAAAAAGGCCTTTTATGCTTTTAATTTTCTGTTTTTCTCCTCCAATTTTGCCAATTTAATCAATCAATTAAAATAACCGGATTATTTTCCTCTCCCAACCCCTCTAATCCACCTCTTCTCTTCCTTCTTCTCCCACTCTCACATTTAGATCTTAATTTCCTTCTTCCCCCCCACCACCTCTGTTTTCTTTTTTTTTTTTTTTTTTAAACTTCTGGTTTGGAAAAGTTCCACAGCTGGAGTTTCACATTTCCTTTTGTCACCACATCGAAGGCATTTGAGGAGCACAGGGAGGGAATGTCACAATGGACACACACACATGTTCAGCTGCATTAGGGGCAAAGGGAGAAGGTTGGACTCAGTGGTCTTGAAGTTCTTTTTCCAACCTAATTGATTCAGTGATTCTGTGAATTAAGGAACTTTCCAGAGCCCCAGAGGTTTGTGAGGGATGAGGGGTTTGACCTGTCCTGCTAGAGCAAAACCACGACAACGCCACAGCAGGAGCTCCAGATCTCCTGCCCTCCAGATCTCCACAGGACAAGTGCATCCAGGTCAGGATTTTTGGAGAGCCCCTTCTCATGCAGGTTCATCTGAAAATCCCAATCTCCAGACAACAAAGAAGAACATAAAGTCGAGAAGCCACAGTCAGGCACTGCACCTGCTGCACCACCACTTCCCTTGTCCTCCGTGTGAGCAAGAAACACCAAAAAGATTTTGCATCAGAGAAGTTGCACTGCAGAGGCAGTTCTGCATCTCCTCAGGCAGCTGCAGGTACCTTTAGCAGTTGGTATAAGGAGAGGGGGCTGAGAGAAAAGCAGAGAATCACAGAATGGTTTGGGTTGGGAGACCTTAAAAATCATCTACACAGAAGCCTGGAGAGGCACAGGAAGAGGTGTTGGAGAAGCAGACCCCTTGAGGTCTGTGTTCTGGATCACAGATCCTAAATCCCCCACCCCAGGTCACTCACAGAACCTTTCCCCCCTCTACACAGCAGCTCTGGCAAGAGGTATTTCCTTCTCTAACTCAACTGAAGCCTCTGATTTACCCCCCTCAAATGCCTGTCCCTGGCTTCTGACATTTCACTTCCTCAGGGATCTTTTCTCCAACTCTCAGCAGCAGCTGCCTCCCCCTGAAATACCTGCTCTGCCATTGCCTCAGCTGTGAGCAGGAACACAGACACATCCTGGAAGTCCTTTTCCTCCTTCCTAGCAGTCCCTAATGACTGCTGTTAACAAAGCCTTGGGAGCTTCTAGTGAAGTGAATTTTATCAACTGAGTGAAAGAGAGGAAAAAATCAGCATATAAAGTCCTTCATCCTAAAACTGAGGGTCTGAATTCCAAACACCATGTCCAGGGAACCAGCCCTCACCTCTTAATGCCTCCCACATGCTCCAAATGACAGCAGAAATTGCAGCTGCCTCACCATGTGCACACCACAGGGTGAGATGCAGTTCACCTTCCAGAAACAAATCCTTCCAAGCTGAAAATACCTTTTTTTTTTTTTCCCACATGACATTTTTGCTCCAGTGAAAACTTCTTAAAAAGGGGAAAGAAAAAAAAAAAAACCACAGAACCTACCAGAAATTAGAGCTCAATTAGAAATGGAAATTGCCAGATCCTGCTCAGGGTTGCTTGTACTGGACACAACGTGGCAATGCTCATGTTTTGAGAAACCCTCCATGTCCTAAGCTGCATCAAAAGAGCTGTGAGCAGCAGCTGAGGGGGGGATTCTGCCCCCCTGCTCTGCTCAGGTGAGACCCCACCTGTGTCAGGCAGTGCTGCCTCCAGCTCTGAGGTCTCAGTACAGGAAGGACATGGAGCTGCTGGAGCAATTCCAGAGGAGGCCACGGAGATGCTCCAAGGGCTGGAGCCCCTCTGCCATGGAGACAGGCTGGGAGAGCTGGGGGTGTTCTGGAGAAGAGAAGGATCCAGTGAGACCTTTGAGCCCCTCCCAGTGCTTAAAGGAGCTCCAGGAGAGCTGGAGAGGGACTTTGGACAAAGGATGGAATGACAGGACGAGGAGGAATGGCTTCCCACTGCCAGAGGGCAGGGTTAGATGGGATATTGGGGAGAAATTCTTCCCTGTGAGGGTGGGGAGGCCCTGGCACAGGTTGCCCAGAGAAGCTGTGGCTGCCCCATCCCTGGAAGTGTCCAAGGCCAGGTTGGATGGGGCTTGGAGCAACCTGGGATAGAGGGAGGTGTCCCTGCCCATGGTAAAGGGGTAGAACAAGATGTTCTTTAAGGTCCCTTCCAACCCAGGCCATTCTGTGGTCCTGATCCTCAAACACTGCCCTGGGAAGCTCGGAGGGATCATCCATTACATCCTGTTGGGAGGGGTCAGAAGAAACCGCAGGGGTCATTCCAGCCACTGTCACACACACGCGCACGGAGTTTCTGCAGCTCTTACAACACCGGGCGCTGGGAAGAGCAGCCTCGGAGCATCCCTGCCCTCGCGTGGTGCGCGGGCACTGCTGCAGCTCTGCTGTCACCGAGCCACATCGGGGCTTTCTGAAGCGCTCCTCAGATCACCCTTGTGAGGCATCTCCTTTAATATCGCTCAAGACGTCCCCTAAATCCAGAGCCTCAGTCTGACTCTAAGTCCTCACCTAAAGGACAGAACCAATAAGAATTTGGAAAATTATCCCAAGTCCCAGCCCAGGAAACGTTCTGTGACTCCTCTGAGAGCTGGAAAAAATCCTGGACTACAGACCCAGCACACCAGAAACCACAGCCAAAGGCAGTTATGAAAATATATAGATCTAAGGCTCCAGCAAAGCAATTTATCAAAAGTCTCAGTGATCCCACTGAAGGGACATTTAGAAAATGCCCTTCGGGCATCACTGATGAAACAATTGTGAAAATCATCAAGGCAGCTGTAAAGCTGCCCCAGAGTCAAACCATATGGATTTAGTGAGAACATCTTGGTGATTCTAAAATTGCCCCAAATAAGACTGCATAGAAGCCATTTTAGAAGTGATCTGTAATGTCAAAGCATAGCAATAAACACCCCATTAAAAGGACCATTAAAAAAAAACCAACCAAAAAATCCCACAAAGCATCCAGTATTAAAAATCTTTTGTGTGATTTTTGGAAGTATTCTCGTGGGGGCCTTTTGAAGGGATTTGTACAATGATCCTTCAATTTTTTATGGTTCTACTTACAATGGCTCCCCTGTGGGAATTTGGGCTTACTCTTGATAGCTCCTTGGCAGTATTTTTGGTCTCCTCAGTGTGTTTTCACAATAGCTCCATAATGGAGGTGGGGTATTTTTACAAGAGGCATTTCTTAGATTTTTTGGAGACAGTTTACATAATGGTTATGTAATGGTGTCTTGGGGGAGGATCAGAGATGTGATTTAAAGTGTCTGACTGATGCTGGATTTGCGAGTATTTCCCCTGTTAAGTCTCATTCATGGGACCCATTTTATGCCATAAAGAACAAAGAGGAGACAATGGGAATCACAGGGTTCCCACTCTGACTCCAGCTGCAGGGAAGGGTACAACAGCCACACTGCAGGCAGCTGAAGGTGGCACCACCCCACAGTTCCCGGGGGGAACAAACTGATTCTGCCATGAATATTTCCATCCATGACCTCAGCAATTCCAAATGGATCACCTGAGAGGGTCCATCGGTGATCCAGGGCAATACTGACCTCCCTACAGACAAAAACAGCAGCAAAAAAGGAAGAGGGGGGCGGCCCTGGAAGTTGTTGGTGGGTTTTATTATCATGATTATCATCATCATCATCATCATCAGGTGTCTCCAGCCTTGCCAATAGGCAGGGAAGGGACCTTGTGCTGCTGCACTGACATGGTACCAGCTGGATGGCTCCCAACTCTCTTCCCAGCTCCAGCAAACCTCTTCCAGCCACAAGAAACAGGGACAGAAGTGCTTCCCTGCAAAGCAGAAGAGCAGAGGGGGGATGCTCTGCTTTCTTCACACACTTTTGTAGAGGGTGTTGAACCAGAGAAAGGAGAAAAGGAAGAGTTGAAGGTAATGTGGAATATTTCAGGAGAGCTGTGGGTGAACATGGACCTCAACAGTGACAGTCACAACCCTGGCACCTCTCAAGGATGGAGCCCAGGCTGGATCCCTCTTCTACCACTCCCTTGACAGGGAGCAGGAGTTTCTCACCCAGCTCTCCAGCTGACTTGCCCCACAGTGCAGCCAGACTGCAAACTACCCTGTGAGAAGTGGAGGATCAAAGAGTCTGGGTTCTCCCATGATCACAGCCACAATAATCCTGCCCATCCCAAACTGGTAAACCACCACTGAAGAAGAATTGGGAGCTGCCTGCTACTGCTCAGGCTCGAAGGAGAGCCTGGGTGTACAGACCTTGGCCTGTTTTTCCAGGAATGTTATTTCTCTGACAGAAGAGATCACATCTTCCTTCTTTTCAACTGAAGAACATCCAGTGGGCAGCTGAACAGGAAAAGAATAAAGGTATTTCTTAAGCCAGGGCTTGCAACAGGAGCAGAAATTTTTCAGTAAGTGTATTTTTCTCCTGGAAACTGCAGCACAAGGATTGAGAACAGACTCAGGGTCCTCAGATAAACAGCTCCATGCAGGAGCTGAAGCCAGAAAGCACTTGGCAGTAGCCTTTGAGTGCCTCTGGCTGCTAGAGGATTGTCCTCCAGAGGATGAACATTCTCTAAAGGATGTTCCCAAATCCTGTGATGGCTTTTGTCAGTTTTGACCTAAGTGACTCACAGTCAATCCAGTTCCAATGTTTCTTCCTCTTCCTTCTCCAAATCATCCTTCCTCCTATAACACCTGCAAGCATGGAAACAATTCCGGTGTGGGACCAAAGGAATGAGAGTCCTGGAAAAAAAAAAAGGAAACTTTTAAGAACAGAATCTTTAACATAAAATGCTTTCTCTGAGAATGAACAATAAAACACATCAGTTTTGTTTCTAGAAATGCATGAGCCTCCAAAAACTTTTTTATAACTAAAGTAATTCAAATAATTTTTTTTTGTTGTTTTTCATAAATCAGAATTGTTTGTAATGGTTCTGCCTGTATTGAGGCTAAAGCTCTGTCCTGGGCACGTCTGGTTTGTGTCTCCAGAGTTCTTGCACACCTTCATTCCTCTGACAGCACAGAGCAGTGCCTGACTCACACTGACCTGGGAGCCCCTGGGGGGTGTGAAGGCAGACAGGCCTGGCCTGGCTCTGTCCTCTCTGTCTTGGATGAACCCTCAGCTATTCCAAAATCTGTCAATCTGTTCCCTGGGGTTGGGCCAGTGGGGACCTCATCTCAGTGTTCTCAACCTACAGGACCTGCAGACACAGACCCTGCGTGTCCATCGGGATTTGCAGAAAGCCAGGTTTGCTTGGCAGTGTGAGAGCAGCTTCCCCAGCCTGCCCTGAGCCAGGACACACTGGAGAGCCAGCCCAGCCCACCTGCTGGGGAGCTGTGCCCCTGATGTCCCAGCACAGGGCTGGGACAACACCTGAGTCACCAGCAGAGCTGTGTTTGGGTCAGGCCATTCTGTAGGAAGCCCTGGGGGAACAGGAGCTGGCCTGAACAGCTCTGCTGCACCTGAGACTCAGCACCATCTACCCCTGAGGTCATTCCACCACGTTCCAACTCTTCAATCCCACCCTGTCCCTCAGGGCATTGTCCAAACACTCCTTGAGCTCCTGCAGCCTTGGGGCTGTGCCCACTGCCCTGGGGAGCCTGCTCAGTGTTTAATTACTTTCTGGGGGAAGAATCTTTGCCTGATATCCAGCCTAAACCTCCCCTGACACAGCTCCAGCTGTTCCCTCAGGTCCTGTCACTGCTCACACAGAGCAGAAATAGGAGCTGCCCCTCTGCTGCCCCTCCTGAGGAAGCTGCAGATCCTGAGGAGGTCTGACCTCAGGCTCCTGCAGGCTGAACAGACCAAGTGACCTCCTCACATGGCCCCTCTAGACCCTCCCCCATCCCTGTTTCCCTCCTTTGGACACTCTCCAATAGCTTCAGATCCCTCTAACATTGAGGTGCCCAAAAGTGCCCCCAGGACTCGAGGTGAGGCCGCACCACCTCAGGTGGTGGGACAGCCACAGATTGTTTCAAACTTCAGCACTATCAGAGATTTCATCCATATCCTTGGAAAATCAGCGTGAGGTGGACGAAGAGGCTGATTTAGTGTGTCTGTTGGGAAAGGAGGAGCATGTGGAGATGTGCTGGCTCTTTGCTCTGTTACTCCAGGCTGTATCTCTCACGCACTGACAGCCTGGTCACACAGTCCTCCTGACTTCAAGCTCCAAGAGGACCAGATGATGATGCAATCTGACAAACATACTGGTACCTGCCTCTAGCACAATAATTTCTGCTTGAAATCAGGCGCTGCTGATTTAAAGATCCCCCGTGGCAGAGCATCTGCCAGCTCTGAAGGCAGTGGTAAACTGTCCTCCCTGCTAAGCACTGAATTCTCACCTCCTGCTGCTGGGCATTGCCAACCCTTTGCCTGCTTAGCATGGCTGAGGTCAAACAAATCCCCCAAATTCTCATTCCACACACAGCCTCCAAACAGACTGACCCTGCCCCCAGGCCAGGATAAGGTCTTAGCTTTCACGTACAGATTTCTTAAGTCATAATTTGTTCTACATTTAGCTGGGAATTTATCTCGGGTGGCCGACAAGGACCGTAGGGATGGATTCAGGTTTTAAAATCCATCCCCGGGCAGGGTGGGAGCGAGCTGGAGGGCAGGGGGGGAGCGGGGGCGGCTCAGGGCTGTCAGCTGGAGGCGATCTGCTGGAGATGTTGAGATGCGCGTGTGGGAAGAGCTCAAAAATAGCATTCGTTTCAAAACCCTGGGATACTAAAGCAGTCTCCCGGTGCCTCTCTGCCAGCTTGGCTCCAGCAGCCTCGGGAGAGCCGGTTCCAAGGGACTGATGCTGCAGGAGCGGCACACGGGGGTGGGGGGCAGCGCACAGCCTGTGCCTGCAGCTCTGTGAGGGCTCTGCTGCAGCAGAGCGCTGAGAATCATGGAATCACGGGATCCTTAAGGTTGGAAAAGCCCTGTAAGATCACTGAGTCCGACCATTCCCCCAGCACTACCACGTTCACCACCAACCCATGTTCCCGAAGTGTCGCATCCGCAGGTTTTTTGAGCACATCCAGGCACGGTGACTCCACCACTGCCCTGGGCAGCCTGGGGACCGCCCTGTCAGGGAAGAAATTTTCCCCAACATCCAACCTAAACCTCCCCTGCTGCAACCTGAGGGCGTTCCCTCTCGTTCCCCGGGGGCACAGCCCGACCCTCCCCCGGCTCCCCCTTCCTGCCAGGGAGTTGCAGAGAGCGAGGAGGTTCCCCCCGGAGCCTCCTTTTGTCCAGGCTGAGCCCCGCCAGCTCCCAGAGCCGTTCCCAGTGCTCCATCCCCATCCCCATTCCCATTCCCATTCCCACGGCTGGACACGCTCCCTCCCCGCAGATCCCCGCGGGGGCCGCTGGGGAGCGCTGTGTTGCTCCCCCCCCGTTGCCCGGCAACGGGACCCGGCACTCCCGCGGCGGGGAGGGAGGGCGTGGCCCGCGGCGCGCGGCGCGATGACGCCATCGGGGCGCGCGCCGCGCGGGGAGAGGGGAAGGGCGGAGCGGGGCTGGGGTGGGGGCAGGCGAGGTGTGCGGGCCGGGAGCTCTCCCCGCGGCGGTGAGTGCGGCCGGGCCGGGCCGGGCTGGGCTGGGCTGAGCCGAGCAGGGTTGTTTTCCCCTCCCCGCCATCCCGGGCGGGTGTGTCCGCCGCGGGGTCGCGGTGGGCGCTGAGGGCGGGGCGGGGCGGGCGCTGAGGGCGGGCGGGGCGGGGCGGGGCGGGCGGCAGCGCCCCCTGGCGGCGGCGGGGCGCCCGTGCCATGTGGCCGTGCTGGCTGTGCCCGCAGGTGCCGCGCGCCATGGCCCCCCCCAAGGACATCATGACCAACTCCCACGCCAAGTCCATCCTCAACGCCATGAACGCCCTGCGCAAGAGCAACACGCTCTGCGACGTCACCCTCCGCGTGGAGCACAAGGACTTCCCGGCCCACCGCATCGTCCTGGCCGCCTGCAGCGACTACTTCTGCGCCATGTTCACCAGCGAGGTCGGTGCTGCCGCTGCCGCCGCCGCCGGCCCCCCTCGGGTGCTTCGTGGGTGGAGGAGGCAGGGCCGCTCGGGGCTGCCCTCTGGCGAGCTGCTCGGCAGCTGGGCCAGGATCCCCCTCGTGGCGGCCCGGGATCCCCTTGTGGTGATCTTGGGAGTCCTCTGGGTACTCCCCGTGGTGGCCCAGGATGCCCCCGTGGTGGATCTTGATCCCCTCATGTTGGCCCTGGATTCCTCCATGGTGCCCCGAGGTTCCTCCTTGGTGGCCCTGGGACTCTCTGGATCCCCCCATGGTGGCCCTGAATTCCTCCATGGTGGCCCTGGGACTCTCTGGATCCCCCATGGTGGCCCTGAATTCCTCCATGGTGGCCTGGGGTTCTCTGGATTCTCCCATGGTCACCCTGGATTTCCCCATGGTGGCTCCAGGTCCCCCCGTGGTGCCCCTGGGTCTCGTTGGATCTCCCCATTCAGGCTCTGGAGCCCTTTGGGTCCTCTCCTGGTGGCCCTGAAGCCCCTCGTGGCGATTCTGGGTGCCCTCATGGGCAGAGCCCTTTTATCGAGGCCTGGTGTGGAGCTGGAGGTCGTCCCTGGGACTGAGGTCCTGAATCGTGGTGTGCTGGGACCCCCCTGTGCCCAGCGAGCTGGCAGGCTGAGCTGCCAAACCGGAGGGTTCTGACATGTTTACTTATTTTTCCAGTGGTGATTTGTGGTTTCTGTGGTTCTGGGCATCTTTCCTGCCAGGGGCAGCAGCCCTGGTGCCGAGCTGGGCAATCGCAGTGCAAGGGAGGGGCTTTGACAGCTCCCCTTGGCTCTGGCTGAGCAGCTGGGCCCTTCGGGGTTGTGCTGCTGCTCGTGCCGTGGGGGTGTCACCTCCAGCACTGGGGCTGGGGTGGCTCTGAGCTCCAGGTCTGCTGTACCCAGCAGATCCCCCCTGAGAGCACCTCGGCTCTCAGTTCTTACTGGGAGACTCGCACTTGTGCTGTTTCCCTGAGTCACTGGCAGGTGCTGTTTGAGCTAAAACTGGCGCTCATTTGTGCTGTTAAACATCGGATGCTCTGCCTGGCTTTGTCTTTTATAAGTTTGAATCAATCTTTTGTGGCTTTTATTCTTACAGAAGATGCTTTCCTTATCCTACCACCTTTCCCATTAGCAGGGAGAAACATTAACAAGTAGCTCGCAGGTCCTAAAGCCCTCCCTGCTAGCCCAGGAGTCCTTGCAGCAGAGAATGATTCTGTTCTTTGTTTTACCCTGCAATGAAGGCTGTGGCAGAGCTCTCTGTGTGCCCACTGCTCTCAGTGCTGTCAGGAGAGCAGGTGTCTCAGTTTTTGCAGTCCTGTGCAAAGCAACCAAAAGAAGACATCTGTGGCCTGATCACATACCAATATATTTTCTGGTCCGTGTCTTTGTGAAATTTGTAAATCCATCAGGTTTATGCTCTTTATCTGCATAAAGGAAATGCATTTAAGAAAGAAAAAATTACACAAAGGAAATTCAATCCCTGGAGGCTGAAGTTCTGTGTTCTCCAGAAGCTCCAGGTGCACAGCAGTACAGCAGAGTGTCTCTGCTTCTTCGGGTTTGCCTCCACAATTCCTGTCAATGCTTTTGACTTCTGGACTTTCTCTAGGCAGTGTGCAGAGATCCAATCGCTCCATGTGCTCCAGAACGTTCTTTGTGGCTGCTCACAAAGGCTGAGGGTGGGTGTGCTTTGGGTCTGAGCTGAGCTGTGTCTCCTTCCTTGGTTCACTCGTGTGAATTGTAACATCTTCACTGAGAGATG